GCTGTGATAACCACATGAACACAAGGAGATTAAACAACACACTCCTGAATGATGAATGTGTCAAAAGAGAAATTAAGAGAGAAATAAAAGTGTTCCTGGAACTAAATGAAAAGGACAATACAACAGAGCAAAACCACTGGTACACACTGAAAGCTGTCCTTAACAAAGAAAACAATACAAAGAATCAACAAATCCAAGAGCTGGTTCTTTGAAAAGATAAACAAGATTGACAGACTGGTAGCCCAGTTAACCAAAAGAAACAAACAGCACCTCCAAATCAACAAAATCAGAGATGAAAGGGGAAACATTACAACAGACACCAAAAAGATCTAGAACATTATAAGGGAATACTTTAAAAATGTATATGCTGCTAAATTTGAAAACCTAAAAGAAATGGTCAGGTATTTAAAAGCATGGGAACCACCAAAGCTAAACCAAGAAGAGATCAACAGCTTAAACAGACCCATAGCACATAAGGAAATTGAAACAGTAATACAAAGCTTCCCAACTAAGAAAAGCCCAGAACCAGATGGATTTGAAGCCAGCATCACTCTAATACCAAAGCCAGGTAAAGATACAATCAAAAAAGAAAACTACAGACCCATATCCTTAATGAACATAGATGCAAAAATTCTCAACAAAATACTTGCAAACCGCATACAGACATACATCAAAAAGATCATCCACCATGATCAAGTCAGCTTTATCCCAGAGATGCAGGGCTGGCTCAATATATGTAAGTCAATAAATGTCATAAATCATATAAATGGACTCAAAGACAAGAAATACATGGTCATCTCAATAGATGCAGAAAAGGCCTTTCACAAAATTCAACATCATTTATGTTCAAAGTCCTAGAGGGAAATGGACTGGAGGGAACACACTTCAACATAATTAAAGCCATATCTAACAAACCCACAGCCAACATCATTCTAAATGGAGAAAAAACTGGAAGCATTCCCATTGAAATCAAGAACCAGACAAGGCTGTCCACTATATCCACTCCTTTTTAACGTGGTACTTGAAACTCTTGCAAGAGCAATAAGACAAGAGCAGGAAATTAAAGGAGTAATAATTTGAAAAGAAGAGATCAAATTATCCCTATTTGCAGATGATATGATATTACATCTAAGAGACACCGTAAATTCCACCAGAAAACTCCTAGAAATTATTAACACGTTCAGTAAAGTGGCAGGTTACAAAAGTAATTCACAAAAGTC